CCAGTTTGTTCTTCTTCCCCCCCACCCCCCAATGTCTGTTTTAATTGTCTAATTGCCACAGTGCTTGTCAAAGGTCAAGGACCTTTTTAAAGTGCTAAAGAACATGACATTTTAAAAACTAAGGTACACCTAATTCGAGCCTGGATGGTTTGAATGGCTTCATATGCATGTGAAAGTTGGCCAATGATTAGAAAGACTGAAGAAAAATTTATTCCTTTGAATTGTGGTGTTGATGAAGAGTATTGAATAAACTATAAACATGCAAAAGAACAGTTAGATCTGTTTTGGAAAAAGTGCAACCAGATTACTCTTTAGAGGTGGAGGATTGTGTGACTTTGTATCACATACTATGGGCATATTTTTAGGAGGTGCCAGTCCCTTGATAAAGACATCATGCTTGGAAAAGTAGAAGCACAGCACAAGAGAGGAAGACTCTCAAGGAGATGGATTTGTACAATGACTGCAGTATTTAACTTGAGCATGGCAAAAAGATAGGTTAGGACAAGGCAAGGTTTCAGTATCTTTTTCATTTGGTCCTTATAAATCATATAAACTCAAAGGTATCTATAAACAGCATATTTGAGAGACCCCTGGTTTTGTAACGAGATATGTGTTGGGAAGGTAACTGAAAGTGTGGCAGTTTGAACCTACCAGCTGCTCCATGGGAGAAAGACGAGACAGTGTGCACCCATTTAAGATTTACAGCCTCAGGAATCTGGTGATAGGCTGCCATGATTATAACCGATTCAGGTAAAGTAGGTTCAGGGATTTTTTTGCTATTTTAAGAAAATGCATGATGGCATATATATTTATATCAGAAGTATTACTGAATGTATTATATGGTATTCTTAATCATTAATGAAGAATTAATGTACTTATAATAATTAAAAAATATTTTCATTAACATATTCTACAGAAGAATTGGTGATTGTCATTACTCTTCCCTGAAGTAAGCTAGAAAATAAAAACTTTTAACAGGATATTTGATCTAATTGCTGAAAGCAGGTATTTTTTTTCCTTCCTTCAAAACAAAGTCTTAAGGAATCATTGGGTTGAATAAAGTAGATAAATTCCCTAAAACATACTTGCACCTATCTCAAAAGCGTTGTGAACATGGGCATAGTCAAACTGAATCTGTTCAGGGAAAATCTGTGTTTGCTTTTGATCACTGGTAATTTTAATTTATGCAGAGCAATACCTCATTCTAGCAAAGAGGTAGGGATTCCAGGTTCTCTCCTTTGCAACGGATAGATGGAGAAACTTTTCTGGGGTCATGATGGTTGCTGGGATGAAGTTTTGAGAGACTTACCAAAGTTACTACCCTTATATTTAAAAAGAAATACAGTCTTAATAAGAGCAATAATTCATTTATTCAATCTTAAGTGTGTGTTTCAGTCTCTGCTTTCTGGAATTCACCTTAGAGATAATTAACTCTAGTTTATGTAGTTGAAAAGTAAATAGTTAAACCACAATTTATAGTTTCTAATGGCCAATTGGGAAGAAGCTGTGCTGCAATCCTGAAGGCACACAGATCAAATCCACCAGCTGCTTTATGGGAGAAAGGTAGCCAATCTCCATGCTTCTGTAAATGCACTGGAGAATCAGCTACGCTTCAGCTCTGACCTGACTGTACACAATAATAATGATTTGCTTGAGATAACAATTGGTTGAAATAAGTATTCAGTTACGGGTTTTTCAAATGTAATGTTATTGTACAATTGGGGATTTGTTTTCAGTATTTGCATAGTTACGTGATTTGCCCATTTGAAAATATTTTATATAACTTCTTTATGGTCAATTTTGCTTATTTTAATTTTATGAGAAGAGCACAAGATAAGGAAAATGTTATGATAAGAACAGAAGATAAAAAAAGAACACAAGATAAAAATAAGGTTACTATGATAGAATATTAAAAGAGAAAATAATTTTATTGTACTTCCAAGTTCTCTCTTAACATGTTGTTATTATTACCATTGAGTTGAAACCTACTCATAGCTGACCTTTCAGAGGGTATTCAGATGCAATAAATTGCACAGGAGGAGATTACCCATCATTTTTCTTGCAGAGCAAATGGGTGGATTTGAATCATATACATTTGGGTTGACAACACAGATTTTTACCACTAGGTTACTACTTTTCCTTCTCTTAATACAAGCTTATGATATCAAGGAACTGAAGTAATCAAAATCAAGTAAGAGCTAGCTGACATTCAAGCAGATATATGCACACCCATGTTTATTGCAGCTTTGTTCACAATAGCAAGGAGTTGGAAACAACCTAAGTGCCCA